TGGAACCTTTTATAAGTTTTTTTGGTTTTTGTTTTTGTGTGTGAATTTTTAAAGAGAGCATTTCCTGCCACGTAAAAGAAAATCCAGGGGGTGGCTGTCCTCCCACAGGAAGGAGGTAAACACACATTTTTCCTTAAGGGCTCTATTCCCTCAGCCTGGCACCCTCAAAGGCCACACTTGGAGGCCAGGAAGTTAATCCATTCAAAACAAGGAGAAGAAAGAAGGAAAAAGCATATTGGTCTCTACCCCAGTCCAGGCAAATCAGAACTTCTGGAGGATGGAGACTGGGTACCACTTTTTGTTTTAAACACCTCACATAATTTTAATGATGTCCCCACGATAAAGAACTACTGGCCTTCTTCCTTTATCTTTTTCATCCCTTGTTGTCTTCTATTTCCTGCTGTATCCCCAAAGCTTAGAGAAGCTTGTGGTATATAAAAAGTATCCAGAAATATTGATTGAAGGAAGGGCTTAATGAATGAGTGAATGTCACAAGGGAGCAGGGAAGATGGGCCCCTTCCATTTTTCTCTGGAATGAACCTAGACATCAGCCAGGTGTTGAGATGATCACTAGCAGTTCCCACACAGGCTCACAGAGTGTCTGTGCCTTGGCCTGGCTGGGCTGTGCTGTGCACCGACAGACGGGGTGGATTCATATTCCACAGAGGAGGTAGCTAGTGGCCAGTCATTGTCATGGTTGAAAATCCAGGTCTTTCACAACATCCATTAATTATGGGATGGCAAATTCCAAGTAAATTGTAACAGAGCAGACCCATAGTAGGAATAGGGCATATTCACACTTTTTATTTTTAAATATTTCTGTTTGGAGATGCAAAACATTTAGAATTCTGTTCCCTTCTAGGAATTCCATGGCTTGGGGCAGCTCTCTTTAGCCGTGGATCTGGGGTTTGAGACCAGCCATTCATACATTGACAGTCTTGGCACAGTGAATAACTTTGGATTTTCTACATTGGAGAGGGGGTGCTCAAGGTCTGCCCATGCTGCCGTGGTTTGCTAACATGGTTAATATCTGGCCATAGTCCCTAAGAACTGGGGCTTTGAGACCACCTGCTTGGTTTTGAGTTCTGGCACTTCCCCTCCACTTAATAGCCCAGAACTCTGGGCAAGTGATCTAACCTGGGAGAGCAAAGATAAGAAAAGGTAAGACTTGTGTATAACACTCAACACAGGCTAGGTACCATTCTGTGCTTTGTGTATGTCTGAACTTTTCATTCTCCAAACACCCTCTGAAGGAGAAATTACTATTTTTAATAAAGATGGGGAAACCGAGGCACAGGTAGTGGAGTCACGTGCCCACGGTCACACAGATAGTTACTGGCAGAGCGAGGAGGGCAAAGGAGGACAGCCTGGCCTGGAGCCTGTTCTCTCGCCACCACGCTGCACTCCCTGTGAGCTGGGTCAGGGCTTAGGAGGTCGGCTCCTAGGAAGCACTCAGTACACGGCCCTCATGGTGAGGTGGATGTGCACTAAGACAGCACACCTCGGGATGTGTTGTGCATGTGGATGACACCGGACGCAGGACCTAAGAGACACAAGCTTGAGAATCACCGCCAGAAGGTTCCAACCTTAACTGTCTGATTAAAAACTGTACGGTTGGCTTAGAGTTATACTTTAAAGCTGCATTTGCCAGTGGTCACTCTCACTGACTCTTCAGATACAGAGTTAGAACTGATGCTTCCGTGTGGAATTTAAATAATTACCAGGAGTGAGTTGGGGTCCAGTCTCTGCCACTCACTCAGTAGTTGACCTGCCCAGTGCAGTGTGGGACCAACCCCGTCAATGAGCCTGGGCACTCTGTCTGAGGGTCCAGTGTCCAGCCACCTGCTAACTTCCATAATTCAGCCTCACCCTGCGTGTTTTTGCCACATGGATAAATCTGATAGACACAATAAATAAAGTAGATATATATTCAGAATAAATATTATACAGCGAGACTAAAATATAAATAGCAAGTGCAAAACAAATTAAATGAGGTTGTGAATGGTGAAGCCACTGAGCTAAGAACTACCATTAAAACAAGAAAAGTAAGTAATTGAGAAATGCAGTTATCATTGGGCAAGAAGTCAAATGAAAAATATGGTTTGAAAGTGAAAAACATATTTTCAGCATTCCTTTAATTTCACACACTACATTTGCACATGGCACATTATCTAAGCTATGGGAGCCTCAAGTGCACGGTTAAGTGGACACTGTGCAATGTGATTTACGCAAGGGAAAAAGACAAAAATAATCTTTATGCAGTACTCTTATTGATTTTTAAAATGAGAAATTGGTGGGTCTGGCACAGAGATCAATGGAGTTGAAGTCACGACGTCAAATTGAGATGTGAGGTTAAGGCTAAGAGACAGACATCTCGTTCTCTCATGCTGGCCCAATGAACTCTCCAGTTTTTTTGGTGAGTTCTGGTGAAAACTCTTTTTAACCCAAAATGTCAGCATTTGGGTTAGAAGAACATTAATTTATCTGACCGCAGTGAGATGCATTTTCTCAATTCTCCTCGTTTGCTTCTTTTACCCTAATACTAGGTCGCTAAATCCAAAGAGATTCTTTCTCTAAAAACTCAACTTCTACCCAATTGAATTTTCACCAAAGGAATTGCCAAGGTTGAGTTTGGTGGTAAAGAACCCAACCCTTTGGTGCTTTTTTCTTTTCTAAACACTGCATGGCCGGACGTCAGGACTGCTCAGCCCTGGAAGTCGTCTTCCTCTTTACTGCCTTCTCATGGTGTTTTCTTTAATTCCTACTACACAAAAAGTTACAATTGGAAATGGAAGAAAACAATTATTTCCCAGTCAGGATTTCCTGAGTGGGTAGCAAAATCACTGACTAGGTTTGTGTTAGTAGCCTCATTAAATATTTATTAAGCACCTGTTATAGACAGTACTATGCTTAGTCATTTAAGGATTTGCGTTGTGAATCGCTTCGTCCATTTTCCTCCCACTTGAAAGTATTTCTCTTGGACATTCTAGGAGGTAAGAAATAATGAAAATCTTGTTTTTTAAAATAGTATTTCCAGTTGAAAATTCACACTCAGATATTTAATAGAAATCCTATCTTTTCCCCGGTTCCTGCTGGCTCGCAGACTTCTGTTTCCATTAAAATCCCCCACCGCCTTGCTGGCCCTGGGTAGCATCTTCAGTCCCTTCTTTCTATCTTGCCACATTACAAAGACTTGCCTGCCAAAAGGTTTTTCTCATAGCTGTCCCCTAACTTACTTCCCAGTGCTACTGGGACTGGCTCATTTGCACCTGTGACACCTTCTCAACTGGTCTCCAACTCCTCTCTTCTGGTTCACCTCCAGTTATACCGTCTTAATCTTCTGAGAATACATGTTCTTGTTTAAAATATCAACAGAGGATCCTCCTGCTCTGCTGATTCCTCCTCAAACTGACTCCAAACTGTGCCTCTACTCTCTGATCCCAGCACCTCAACCTTTGCCAGATGTCACTTCTCACTCCTACCATACAAGTCTATAGCCCTGAGCACCCTCCCACTTGGCTTAAGCTCCAGGACTAATGTCTGCTGGGCTCAGGAGTCCAGTCTCAAGCATCACCCACGAAGTCAGCCAGGGCATCACTCTCTGCCTGTAATCTCCTATCCTGATTCTACCTGGGAGTCTTTAGGCTCCTGCCACTTCTTGCCACCACCTCCTCTCCTCCTGGACTTGAGCTTCTTGGAGTCCTCTCACTTGGTCTTGTAACACCTTACACATTGCCTTGGCCACTGCTGCAACAGCTCAGCACATATCCACAAATCAGAAGTCCTCTCTGAACAAAGCCATCCGCGTATCCATCTACCTTCCCTATGCTTGCCCCATTAAAAAATCCCAGGTTTTATATCTTTGCTACAGTTTTAAGGATGGTAAAATCGCTTACTACAAAAATAAGCAGATTGCACTGTACAAAATGCAGGTCGTAAGAGTTATCTAAAATCTAACCACTAAGTACATATAGAAGAGATTTTTAAAAACATTAAGAAGGGCAGTTGACAAATACAGGATCCTTCCTAGAGAAGAACAAGGGTGGGGGATCCCACATCACCAGTGGAATGACCTAGAAACACAAAGACTACTCCATTTCATTAAGGTTGGCATGAGAATGACATAGCCCCTTGCTGCTTCCTCAGCTGAACAGCTGTCAGAAGGCCCTCGTGCCATCAGCTGTGCTTTCTCCTCTTTCTCTCTGGGATGTGCCTGTCCATGGAACCCCTGCTTTGGGATATAGCTGTGATCATCTCCACTGAGATGGAGTGAGAGCAACTTTTATCTGCAAGGCTGCCTGTAGTGTTTTCAGCATTCCGTAGCCTCCTTCCCATGTCTCTCATATGCTGTAGTTTACTGCATTTCATTTCATGGCCAAAGCTAGATTAGTAAGGACTGAATTGGAATTTTCCATATTAAGTAGAATATAAACTTCAACAAGCATTTTGATATGCTGGGTTTGTTTGTTTGTTTGTTTGCCATTCTTTTGGATAGAGTAGTATAATTCACATGAATGTACGGTATGCAGAGATGCAAGAATCTCTTTCTTTTCTTTTTTTTGCTCAAACTTCCTAACAGCAGGATAGGGTGGGAAAAAGAACATGTCTATAGATGTGCAATACTTTGAATAAACAGTTCAGTGCTCTATAAAATAAATATTCACAAATAATGACTTTGGGGAGAGTTATTTCCAAATCCCTTTGAAATATGTTGTTAGCCAAAAGGTTTATAATTTGGAATCATAATTCCGGCTTGTCCCTAATATCTGCTGTTCTCCATTCAAGTTAGTTTTCTCTCAGTCCCAGTTAGAGCTGGGAATATATACCCAGCAGAAGGAGACACACTTGTCAAGTTAGAATGTTTTGTATTTATTCAGATAGTGATTTGTCATCTGGTGACATCTTTGTACACCGCAAAGTCCCTCAACCCATTCATGATGGTTTGAATAATGTTTAAAGCACATATGACTCAGATGCACACTGAATATCCTGTGACTTACAGTACAGGGTTCTCTGAAAGGACTTGAATTTGGCACCAGGAAATGTCTCTGAAGTTATGGTTTTTCTCAGTGTGAGAGGTAAGATCCTTGGTTGCCTGGAAATACCTTAGTTAGTGCCTTCAGGATCTGAAACAGACACATTATCACACATGGTCCAAAGGTTCAAACCTGTACTTTCATGGCTTAGTGCTTAACACAAGACATTGTCCAAACAACTTGTTTACAGCAATCCTGTCAGGGTCCCTGTAGTTTGGTTCCTGCAAGTCTGCATTCTGTCCTTAATGTATAAGAACAATGTACATGTTAAATAAACTGAAAGTCACGAAGTTTCACTACACACGCATCATAGGTTAGCTCCGGTGTTTGATAGACGTCTCTCAATGTTTGTATGAGAGTTTCATGGTAATGAAAGTGTCGTCATGTAGTGTCCATCATATTAAATCTTGCTTTAAAATACTGAAGTCACTCCATAATGTTATGAAATATTAAAATCAAGTATGTGAGGAGACAGAAGAAGATCTGCTTCATAAATCATGCCAGCTAATTTCTGGTTGGGGAATGCAGGTCTCCAACCAGTGGAATTATGGTGGGGAGGGGATGTGGCGCTTCACATTTATGAAGGACTATTAAAAATGACGATGACACTGGTTTTATCTGGGGAGTTTTTATGACCTCACGTTCCCAGAATGACAGTGGTTTGCCTCAAGTATGTAGAATTTGCCAGCCTTCCCAACTGAGCTTCTTGGGTGCTATGCACGGGTTAAACAGCATCCTTCACAAGCATTAAAATCCCTGGTGAACCTGTCATTTTCCTCCTATGTAAATTTCTGACCACAGAGCTGCTGCTTTGGGATGTAGCTGTGACCGTTTCTGTATCATGAGTCTCTGAGAAGCGTAAGTCACCTGCTTCTCATATTCCAGAGTTCAGTAGTTGTGTCTCTAAATGAGATAGCCATGGCTGGGTGCAAACAAGAGAATACAAATGTCTACATGAACGGGTTTGTCCTGTCGCTCTGCTTCGATCCATTGTTATTTCTGAGAATCATTTTGATTTTTGGACTGCTTATTTCAATGTGTAGGAGTCTTCCTTGTAGATGAATGCCTTTCACGTATAAGTCTTTCTCTTATTTATTGATTTATTTAAAAAAATTTCCCTACAGAGGGAGAAACAAAACACAAAAATTCCCTTTCCTGTCACAGGGGAAAATAACTGGCAAAACAGAGAAGCCCCCAAAGTAAACAGAGTAATAGAGTACCCAGCCCCCCATAGAGCTTGCAGAAATCTCATTGTGCAGACATGGAGCTCCCCAGCTTTTGCCTTGTTAGCCTATTTCTGAACCAGTCGTTCTGTTTCTTAATAGGGTAAAGGGCCTGACTTACGTAAAAGCTCAAAGTCTTAATCACAATGATAAAATACAAAGTCGTGGCAACTGTAGTAAGTTTAAAGACATATTTAGCTTTTCAAGGACATCCTGTCTTTAAGAAAGAGTCTTTCATTTAGCTAAAGAAATTAAACTGAATTTTCAATCTTTTAAACAAAATGATGAATTTAGTGAAGGAAACAAAACTCTCCATGGCTAACGTAATTTATGCAAAATCACGCAATTAGTGATAGCTGTGCTAGACTTTTTTTTTCCCCTTCACCAAATGCGCCTCTAATAAAACCATCGTGAGGAGCAGTGCCATCTAATGTAAGTAGTAAACATGGATAGTAAATGATTAATATCTGGTGAGGCATGCAGATGGCAGGACTTCCATTTTTCCTTTGAGCCCCCATGCATGTTTGCTAATCAGTCTTGCAAAAAAATTGCAAAGATAAATATGAACTTTCGAAAGTAATATTCAACAGGATATGAATGTAAGAAACAGCACAGTGTGGGGGAATAGTAAAAACCAGCACTTTTCGCCTCTGCATGGTGAAATGACGGTAACCTGCTGTAGTGTAAGCTTAATAAGGGTTATATCATTTTCACCTATGTACTACTCTGGGCATGGCCCGGGTCTTGTGAGTGGTATTTTTTTAATCAAGACCCCAGCCAGCGCAGTCACCCTGACAGTCCCTCCACTGAGATATGGAAAGGTAACCCTCTAGCAAGTCCTCGTTCAGGGGAAAGCGTTCAAGTGCACAGACGTCTACCCTGTGCTAGCCTGAGCTGTAGTCTTCTGAAATGATCGCTTGGCTTCCCAGCCAAGGCAGGGCTCCCCCAAAGTTCCTTCCCACTCTTGCAGTTTCACCTCGGGATGCTTCCGCAGAATTTCAGTGCCTAAGCAGACAAGGTCAAAGTAAACTCCTTCACCGCTGCTTCTGGCGCAGGGGCCCAGAGCGTATCCAGCCCCCCGGCACAGACCAACAGCAGGAGAGGGGTCCGGGCAGGAGCCCTGGGCTGTAGATAAGCAAAACGCACCCATTTTCTCTCCTATTTACTCCAGAGGCACCTCTCCTCCCCCACTCCTGGCATCTCCTTATCACTGGCTCCCTCTCCCTGTGGCATATTTTTGGGTAGTAGAATGCTGAGGTCACAGGGAGCGGCTCTTTATCCAAGCAGTGGGGACGTCAGCCTGGAGCCCTGAGCATGAACCAGCAAGATGCAGGCTCTCGCTCTTGACTTTGGGCTCCAGGCGCTGCCCCGGCCCAGGGCTGCCCGCGAGCTCCCTTCTCCCTCCTGCCCTCGCCCGCCAGCTCGCCCTGTCTTAGGTCTGCAGCGTTGGTTGGTTTCCCACGCCTGTTCTGGTCTGACTCGGGATGCCAGGCACCCAGAAGCCCCGCAGGCACCGACCCCAGCCCGCAGCCCAGGGAAGGTGCCAACCCCAGGGAGTGGTGGAGACTGGCATTTCACGTGGGCATCTGCCTTCACTGCTGCTCGCGCTTCTCCTCAACGGCTGGCGTCAGGGCCCTTCTGCTCCAACTCATCCCCCCCGAAGTTAATCAGCCGTACTTTCCAGGGCGCTTTAGTTTGGAAAATACTTAAAAGCCTCGAAATGTTCATGGGAGACGGCCGCCCCCGGATCCCCCAGTTCTGCCTGGCTAAGGCTGTCGGGCGCTCAGGAAGCTGTGGCGTTTGTCTGGAACCGACATCGCAGAGGCGCAGCCCCGCTCCTCGCTGGCGTCGCCAAAGTTGCCAGACGCCCCTCGGTGACCCGGCCGCGTCAGATGCAGTTGCATAACCTCGCCCCCCACCTGCGCCCGCGCAGGGTCCA